GCTACTAGGAACAAAGGGCATCGCTACTAGGAGCAAGGACGCTACTAGTTATGGATGAGAGATTGGCATCTGGACCTCTGGCATTGATAGGTGGATTTAAACCCGAACAAGTTTGGTCAACACATGTATGCACCGAATGCACCGAAGACCCTTAAAGGCGGCAGGGGACTCCAATGTGCCGTCAAGCCTTTAAAACGCAACAACTGGACTGTCTTCCACGAGACCAGCACTCTCCCCACCAGTCTCTTCCTGATGGCTGTTTTGAAACTGAAAACATCTAGCAACAAAGAGGAGCTCTGACAAAACAATGCTCGCTCGGTTTCTATCTCTTTGTTCAATGCTGAAGAACAATGAACTATCAGGAGCAAAATGAGCAAATCGCTAGTAGGTTGAAGGCCATCTGAAAGAGTTCACAAAAGGACTCCAGGCACAGTGAACGAACCGTCGGGATCATCCCCATCCGGCCTTCGGAAGCGTTCCCGAACTGGGCGGTACAAGCGTGATGCGATGTGTTGCAACTCCTGGCCGGCCGAGTCTGGTGATGCAAGGACACTACTAGGGGCTCCTGGCCTCACTACTAGGAACAAGAAGCTACTAGGGTGGAGGCCATTGCTTTTAGATGCAAGGCGCTTTGCGTCGCTTTGCACTAACAAGTTGACACCGATCCTTTTTGTGCAAATCCAATCTGCTTCCAAATTTCTGGATTGTGAACCTTCCGCTGAACTGGGCCACCCAGCCATGGAAGAGAGAGATGGCCACAGGAGCTGCGAGGATAAAACCTCGGAGAGACCAAGTGCTGAATCCGATACAGGACTGACAAATAACTAGTAACAAGTGCATCGCTACTAATTAGTAGCTAGACGCAGTTCATCAGTTCGCAAACTGTTGGGTGCAAACCTTGGTTGGGTGCAAAGCCTTGCAAAGAAACGGTTCACTGGCATCACCGACTGCGTCAACAAAGCAAAAGCCATGCCCCGTTCAAGGCATGTTGAATCTAGTAGCTTCTTGTTCCTAGTACGGCCAGGAGCCCCTAGTAGCGTCCTTGCTCCTAGTAGTATGGCCAGCAGCCCCTAGTAGCGTTCTTTGTTGGATCTATCCTAAAGACTGCGCCGAAGAGATCGGGACAGTCTACATATACCAGTGATGACTCAAGGAGTGGTGTCTACAAGAATCCAGTGGGTCTTGATGGCAAGTAGAATGTTTCGCCAAAAGCACATAGCGGTGAACTTAGTTTCGCACCGCCAAGTTAAAGCCTGTCTGCCAGTCTTCAGCATTTGCGAGCCTCGACCAGCGTGCTGTCCCCAAGACGCATAATTGAAGAACTGTTGGAGTTGCTTTTTGGAAAAACAGGTAAAGGTCAAAAGTAAAATGGTCTCAAAGCCTAAAGGGCCTAAAGAACTGAAAAACCTGTTCAACCTATCACCAGTCCTGAAGGGTGTCCAGAGTGTTGATTGAAATTATCAGGATTCATGGTGTCCATCCAGTGGAACCCCGAAACAAGCGCTCAACAAGTACCTATACCAGGTTCTTCTTCGGCCATGGCAAGGCCCAAAGGCCAAATTGTGTATTTTCAGGTCACCGTCACCTGCACAATCACTGAGGACATCATCTACATTAACAACATACCATCGTCAGCCTTTAACGGCCTCCCCAAGTCGCCTCTGCAAGGTCTTGCGCAAGCTGACGGCTGCGTAAAATCCTGGGAGCTGTCTCATCAAGGCCTCTGCAAAACTTGAGAGCACAGAATCCGCATATTTCCAAGGCCAAACACAACGCACATGACTTCACCCAGTGTCCTTCGTCAAGATACAAAGCACAACCCTTCAGCCTACATTCAGCGCTTCACATCTTGTGGTACTTTGTCTGAATTGAACACATCAAACAATAAAGTCCTGCAAATGCTGAATCGAGAGCGAGACTCGAGATCAAATTTGAGTGTACTCAGATTCGGGGACGTTGGAATGTTATGTATATATGCATATTACAAGTATGTATGCTTGATTGTTTGAAGTAGTCGTCAACCATGGTTTTTTCGGACGCAACCCCCACACCACTTCCATCACCTCATGGCTTCGCCATGCATGCCAAATGGTGACAGGGTCTCCTCCACCGGACCTCGGCACCAGGCTTCGAACGGAGGTGAGTTCGAACGGAAGTGAGTTTACACGTAGCACATTAAAATCCCGAAGCAATGCGACCGCAACCTCCAGTAGTGGCGTTCTTGCTCCTAGTCGTATGGCCAGGAGCCCCAAGTAGCGTTCTTGCTCCTAGAGAAATCTGGAAAGTAATTTCCTTCTTATCCCGGATCTCTTATCCGTTCCAGGCCGGCGGCCTGCATGTGTCCGCTGCCATGATTAAAGGTATTACCCTAAAACAAGAAGACATAGACATTTCAGTCGGCTTATGGAGGTGAACTGCCGGTCTCACATGGTGTCACCCGTCCCCCAAAGGAAACAAACGTTTGAGAACGGCCGACCAGCTCTAGCAGCTCAGGCTCGGTTCATCTCGGTCCCCCGGCCGACCGAGTGACCCCTACGACCGACCGAGCAGCTTCTCGAGTAGCACCAAGATCTGCTGCCAGCGCAACTGTTGAGCACAGGCCGTCACCGCTACCGTATACGACACCACATCTGGACCTTGCAAAGGAATGTCAAGCAGTCAAACCCATTAGTTAGAACACAAAGTCTTGAGACCCGGATGCCAACAAAACGATCCTAAACACAACGCCCTTGCTGCCAACGTTCATCCCTGACTGACAGACTGATCAAAGGTGTGACTGTGCATAGCCTTTTGGGCCAGGAGACTCATGTTGCGTGTCACCATCTCCTCCAAGAGGTTTAAAACCACCTGGAGTTGTTGTCCGGTGACACGGGGAGCCTTTGACCTGCGGGGTTTTCCGTGTGCTACCAATGCCACGGTGCTTTGATCACCGATATATATATATATGATAGAAGTGGCCCTAAAACCAATTCGGTGAATCACATGCTTCGAGAGAGCAACCAGTCTATATGTTACTAGCAGCTTCTTGTTACTACTAGTAAGGCACTTGTTACTAGAAGCGATGCACTTGTTACTAGTAGCTATATATTAAATTACATAAAATCTATTTAAAACGCATTAATAAGCTACTAGGAACAAGTGCATCGCTTCTAGTAACAAGTGCCTTACTAGTAGTAACAAAGAAGCTATTAATTTACTTTAAATTTAATTCTAATAGCTTCTTTGTTACTACTAGTAAGGCACCTGTTACTACTAGCGTGGCACTTGTTACTATAGGCTTATCAAAATTCCTGAAAATCATATGTGTCGAGTAAGGGCCCAAACGAGGATCATCTCGCATCTCGAGACCGCCTCCCAGTGGCCCACACAGGCACCGCAAGCGGCATTCCAAGAAACCACGTTGCTACCCGCCTGGCCGGCGCGTTGCACCGAAAGAAACCCGTTTCGGCTCTATGGCAACTTGATTTTGTCGAAAGTTATTCAAACCAAACAACATGATATCCACGAACTAAAATGACACATATCCAAGCCGCTATGTGATGGCGGGCCACAGCAAATCCATGCAGGCACCACGTATGCGGGAATCACACAAGGTTCTCCTGAAATGTTGAATTCACAAACCCTGCACGAATCAAGTTGCGTCAAGTCCTCTTTCTCTTTTATCCCCTCTAGACTCTATGCCATGTATATGTTTTCTTAGGTCATGCCCGACCCGACACTGACTCAACCGACCAAAACTGCCCGACCCGACCGTTTCGATCCCGTCCGCCTCAAGCCGAGTGCCCAGAGCCTGCAGGGCCAGCTGCCAGGCGAGTCCCTTTTGCGCAGCATCCAACGCCACACCCAGAGCGGCCACGCCATCAGTGTCACCTGACGGCAGCTCGCAAAAGTCGGGTATATAGTTGTTTTGTTTGCGGTTCTGAAGTCGTAGAGTAGCAGTAGCAGTAGCAGGAGCAGGAGCAGTAGGAGTAGTAGTAGTAGTAGTCCTCGTCATCGTCGCCGTCGCCGTCGCCGTGGTGTTTTTACGGAAAGTGGGAAAACAATCACTGGTGGAATCGCCCTAATTTTGGCAGCGGAATCTTCATACTAGTAGCGTCCTTGCTCCTAGTAGTACGGCCAGGAGCGCCCCTAGCAGCGTCCTCTTGCTCCTAGTAGCGATGCCACAAGCCCCTAGTAGCGTCCTTGCTCCTAGTAGCGTGAAAGTAATTCTGGTGCGACGATATGGGCAAGTCAATTTGGAATTCGAAAACTCCCAGTCTTGACTCTTTGTGGCATAGACTTTCAGGACTATGATCTGCTTCCGACGTTCTTCTGGTAGCATCAAGAAAATAAGGACGACCCAAAGTTGGTGTACTAGTACTAGTGCTAGTCGTAGTACTCCATAGTCGCTGTAGCGATAGCCCGTAGTCATAGTCGTAGTATAGTAGGAGTAGTAGTCAGTATAGTAGTGTTCTCGTCAGAAGTTGCTTAGGTCGTCCAATCAGGTTCACCTAAGGCCATTTGATCGTTTAGGTAGTAACCGGGTGAGATACAGGTCCAAGACCCAAGCCAAACATGGTAGATCCTAGTAGCGCCGGGACTTCTTTGGTAAGATTTTAATCTCCGCGAGGTTGCGGATTCTCTAGGGGCTCCTGGCATCGCTACTAGGAGCAAGGACGCTACTAGGGGCTCCTGGCCTTACTACTAGGAGCAAGGATGCCATTAGGAGCTTATCTACTGGGCAAAGTCTGATTCTTTGCGATGTTCCAACCCTTGAGATTCTTTGGGGCCAGCGCTAGTAGGTTGGAGGCCATCGCTTCTAAGTTGGAGGGCATCGCTCTTGGCTGGAGGCCATTGCTTGTTCTAACCCTTGAGATTACTTCAACATTTCAAAGAGCTTTCATGTGGCCAACCAATAGTTGGTTCAATGAGTTGTTTGACCACATGAGATTGTGTGGGTCATACCATGGCAATCATGGCGTATGCCACAAATCAGCTATCAAAATGCGTGAACTAAAACAATTGAATGCTGGACAGCACTAGAAAAGCCTCCAGTTCGGATCTTGAAGGATTGAAGTAACAATTACAGTAGCATCCTTGCTCCTAGTAGCGATGCCAGGAGCCCCTAGTAGCGGACACTGCTCCTAGTAGCCCCTTACAGTATGACAATTGTGCAGAGCTTTGACCCGGAATTGCCGAGCCCTCTAATGTTGAAGTACAAAGACGGGGTGCCCAAAGCCTTCTCACAAGAACAGTTCCAGACCTTTCGGCTTCACTTAAGTTTCAAAAAAAAATAAACCACATCACTAGTGCCAGCAGCTACTTGATTAAGCAAAGGAGGCAGGGCCACGGGCTAAAAGGTCTAAAAAACTGTACCACCAAACCACCAGGTCTTGGGAGACTTCACTGATTCTCAGAGGCTAATTCTGGTTACTAGTAGCGTCCTCTTGTTCCCAGTTGTAAGGACAGGAGCGCCCCTAGTAGCGTCCTTGCTCCGTTCGTAGCGATGCCCTGTACTAGTAGCATCCTCTTGTGTATATACTTCAAGCTGCCATTGCTCAACAGTGCAAGAGCTTCTTGCCATCGCTCAGCACCTCGGCGCCGGGAGGACTTTCTAACCGGCTTCTAGTAGCTTCTTCTTACTAGTAGTACGGCCAGGCGCCCCTAGTAGCGTCTTTGCTCCTAATAGCGATGCCAGGAGCCACTAGTAGCTTCTTGTTACTAGCTATTGGCTCCTAGTAGCAAAGCCCTTTGTTACTAGTAGGTAGGTAGGTAGGTTAGGTTAGGGTAGGGTAGGTAGGTAGGTAGGTAGTAGTAGCGATGCCCTTGTTGCTAGTAGCTCCTTGTTCATGGTAGAGAGCGGTCACAAAAGCATAGACCATGGTGGTACACTGCACAAAAACTGACTGAAGGAGGTCTACTTGTGGTTCTTCTGGAACATACGACACGATGATTCCGAGCCCATTCAACGTGCACATGACATCTTTCAGTGTCGCACGTCGCTTGCCAAGTGACGCACGGCAACGGTCGCGGCCTGGTTCAGCAGTGCCACATCAGACGCGGGGGATGTGCCAAGCTGCAGTGCTAGACGCCAACCTGGGGTGAGATGAAGGAGTGTGGACAAGGAACTAGTAATGGCCTCCAAGCTACTAGCGATGGCCTTCAACCTAGAAGCGATGCCCTCCAATTCGGAGACCACACCCGGCAACTGGGCTTGTTTCCATGAAGTCTATTCGTCTTTTGCTAAGTTTCTCGGGGAAAGTACTCAAGAGTGCACGCCATTGAAACTGGGAAAGCCAAGAATGATTGTGGATACTGGATACTCATTAAAGTGATGCTCCGAACTCGAACCGTTCTGCCTTTTTGGTCACCACACCCATCCTCTACCTCAGTCCGAAACCCCATGGGACTCATAAGCACACGTGTCATGTGTCCTGCATAGACTCTGACTATCGAGTCTTTCTTCCCTGAGGCTCCCTGCAGACTTGGCTGGCCAGGACTTTCATGGCGCTGTGTAGCATGGGCTTCGACATCGGTGTCTGGGCACAGACGGCCCAATCAAAAAAAGTTTCAGAGCCCTTCTTTGATCTTCTTTGCGACTTTGTTGATATGGCAAACCAGGTGTTCCATGGCGTGGACGACTAGTCGATAACATGTCAATGGGTGTCATGTAAGTCGTCATAAGTCGTCGGATGCCGGCAATCAATAGCACCTAATTAGGTTGGAGGCCATCGCTAGTAGGTTCGAGGCCATCGCTCTTAGGTTGGAGGCCATGGCTAGTAGGTTGGAGGCGCCATCGCTATAAGGTTGGAAGCCATTGCTATTACGTTGGAGGCCATCGGTTGGAGGCCAGCTTTCATGCAGTTCTCCTGCCCAAGCGGCGTGGCCCCAGGTTGCCATCAGACGTCCCACAGCCTTAAGCATGGCGAGCCGCGAGCACGAATTGACAAGTGAGCCATGAGGCTTCACTCCTCAGCCTTGGATGTGATATCTCGACTGTCTAGAGTATTGAAGCCTCGTATTGAATCAAAAACACACTGCTCGCATCTGACTTGGACATGTGTCTGAAACAACAGCCCACGTGCTCAAAGCAGGTGACCTTCATGGTTCTTTCAATTGTCACACATGTCAAATCGTGGACCTTTAGGTTCTATATCATTTCTATCATCAAAAGAATCGATCTCTGTGGTAAAGGCCATAGAACATGAAGGAATCCTGCCTACCAATCTTCTACCTGATGGCTATGACAGCAATTCTACTTGGATGCCCCATCGCCGCATCGCCGTCCGCTGCGATTCTTCGAAAGAGGCCTGTAAGTTCCTGGGCTGTGCCGCTGCCGCACGAAGCCGCGCATGGAAGGCGACCTGGAAGGCCGCAACTGATTGCGGGAAATCCCTAGTAGCTTCTTGTTACTACTAGTAAGGCACCTGTTACTACTAGTA